TCGAAGAGCGTTCATGTACACCGAAATATGAAGCCATCTCCAATCCTGAAGAACCTGAAGAAGACGGAATATCTAAGTGTGTCACCTGACCTAAACCCCCTCAATTACCTGGTTCGGGCGGAGTTCAATAGGGTGGTCTACAGTGGCGGAGAAATCAACGATCTCGCTGAACTCAGGTACCGAATCACGGTCGCGTGGCAGAATCTCTCGATGGCGCTCGTCCAGAAGGCTGTGGCGGAGTATCGCGATAGTGTACAATGTGTTGTTGAACTTGGTGGAAATGTCCGATCAGATTACAATAAAGTGTTACTTATAGAGCCTCGAAGTCGAGGACCAAAAGTGTCTTTTTTATTGACCCCCTGTATAGCAGCTAAATGACTCTCCAGGGAGACTGGGAGAAAAACGAAAAAAAATGGAGAACATTCTAGGTAAATGAGCTGGTAACCCTCTGGACGAGTTCTTCGGACCTCCTCGTTTTATGCCAGGCAGCGACATCCTGCCGCCTCTGGCTCACTAATCGTTTCTTCGCGTCATCCAATGTTAGTACAATCTAACAGTGAAAAAAAAACGGAAAACACGATGTGACAACTGGACTCGTGACAGAGAATAGCCTTTGAGTTTTGGCCTGCGGGACATTCAGAAGGACATCAGAACTGTCACTTATGAGGGAGAAGCGCCTCCGTTACTTACTGTGAAGCCGGGAAAAATGAATTTTTTTAGAGACTGAGAGCCGGATTACCTGTACAAAGAAGGACGCCCAGGGATTGCTCTTGGTGAGAACTGTCCGATCGAGACAGTCAGATCAAGGGCTTCATTGTTAATTGCTGCTATTCGTTGCGATGACTGCGTTTTTAACGCGCAGTGCGCGATACGAAAGTTATCACAAGAATGCTGAGTTGTGGGCAAAAGTCGGACCACGGACGGGATTCGAACCCGCATCTTCTGCTTACCGGGCAGCCTTGCGTTCGGCCTATTAAACGCATACCGGGGCCACTGACCACTCAGCTCAATGGCTATTTGTAACCATTGCCTCGAGCACTCACGTGACCCGGTAGTCGTTATAGGCAGTGAACTGGGGGCGGGGGGGGCCGCGAGGGCTGAAGGCGTATTTTACAAGTTTTAGAGCCTTAATAGGTGAACGGACAGCCGTGGACTCTGCCCGGTAAGCAGAAGAGCGGGTGTCGAATCCGTACGGGTCACGCGACTGAATTTGGCCGGCCCTAAACTCCAGCCATTCTTGTGTTAGATCAATGCTGGGCTTTCGTTGCAAGTTTGGGAAGGAGTTTAGGGGTCCGAGTCTAGTCTGGAAATAAAGGCTTTGCCCGCGGAGGAGCGGATAACTCGGCAAGTCTTGGTGAATACACGAAAAGATGCATTCGAAGGCGCAAAATGAGTAAATAGAGTCCTGTTGAGTACACACTTTGACTAATGCGGCAAGTTGAGACGCAACGGGCACAACCTTGCTCGAACGGACTGGCCCCGGTTAGTGGCGATACACCAGTTCTGGCACACAGCAGTTTTGAAGGAGTAGATGCGCTCAGTGACGGAAGTATACCCAATGGCTGACCGCGGAATTGTGTTGCCCGGTCTTATGCGACTTGCTAGATCGTACGGCTGAGGGGGAGGCGCGTGCCAAAACAGCTAACATCGACCTAGATCTCTGCTATGTTTTGAAGCGCCCTTGTTTACCAACAATAGTCCACTGGTTGTACGCGACCGGATGGTAAAGGTGCTAAGTGTCCAGAAGTGGCAAAAAGAAACTAGAGAAATCGTCCAAGGCACCAAAAATATGGTCATGTATGCACAAACGTCTACAAGAATGCTTCATTCTGGTCCTCGTTACGACGTATTCGGTGCTGATCAAATTAAGAGGCACCCAATCATTGCTCATCGGCACGTCCTTCTTCTACCGTCTCGAAAGCAGAGCAGCACCACTGAGGAAGATGCAATGGTTGAACGTCTCCTTTGTTACCTTTCCTTGGAGTTCAAACCAAATATTGAGTCCTCACCTCTCCTGAGGTTTTAGAACCATTCACCACAGTATCACCCACCTTAGTCAAACTTCAAGGCTATTCAGTAAGCCAAGAAAACCCCTTGCCGCTATCCACAGAAGGCATAACTGGCTCACCTTATCTTAGCCGAGCGATGCGGAATGGAGTTGACTTCAACGTGGAGTAATGATTACTGGTACCAGTCGGTCGCTCGCTGAGCCAAATCTACAGGGCCGAAGAATGGTGTGGATTCGCAGGCACTGACTGCTTTCTAGTCATTTGAGGGTCTCTGGTGGTAATTCGAAAGGCACATGACTCTGGGTGCCTTTCGAATTACCACCAGAGACCCTCAAACGACTAGAAAATTGCGCCTTTCGAATTACCACCAGAATGACGGAAGAGAAAAATGCTTCTCCTCCATGCCAAGAGAACAGCCAAGCAGAATGGCGTGGATCCTTAGAGAGTCAGGTAATGCCCATCCTTACAGAGTCAGGTAACAACTGTAACAACTACAAGAATAGGCTTCAGTGCTGGCAAGCCTCTGGAGTCTTCTGGCAAAAGCTGAGCCAGGTCAGTCAATTTTGCCTGGTAAACCCCATCGGTAAATCAATTCCCCTTGTCGCTTACCTTATTAGTCTTACAAAATATAGCGGACGGAACGTATATATTCTTGAATTCAGAGATTGCGAAAAAGCATGCCAACAAAAGAACTCATGCGACTCTTCTTCACCGCACGTTTCCATGGAGAGCGGTCGTTTTGTTTCAAAAGTGACAGCGCAAGTCTGGCCGCTTCATTTCATATTCTCGTTGTGCAGCAAACGTCTCACACTAGAGAAAGTAGTTTGTTTCGATTTTTCTATGACCATAGCGTTTTTCTAAGCTTGTCTTTATGTAGATACAAAACTAACCATTTCAGATTATCACTGCTGCTTTTTTTTGAAATACAGTATCCTTCTCTGGTAAACAACGTCCATGGGATCAGCAGCTACTCGACAGACCGCCAAAGAGGTACAGATTTATTGGTCAACAAAATATGCATAAAATATTGCTACCTTGCTGGGTTCCAATCAGAACTGCTGAGCTAGTGAACGCATAATACAGGGTCAGCTAAGGTTTTTCCCTCAGCGGACGCTGGGGAGCGTCAGAGGGCTGGTTTTGGCACGGTGCGGACCCCTCATCCACTAAGCTGGCAGGCCACCTCAAGTAGTGGAAAACTGGTTGCCGCAGCGCCAAACCCAACCCAGCCCCTAAAATGCCGCTGCGTACGCAGCG